GAGCAGAAAAGGAACCAGGAATCCAGGAACACAAGTAGTTGAGTGCTTGACCATCCTCTGGGGAAGGAAAGTGAAAATGAGATCTTTCTTAATGTGTGGGTTTTTGTTTTTGTTTTGGGGTTTTTTTGTTTTGGTTTTGTTTTGGTTTTTTTAAGCACCACTCTTACCGAGTTTGAGGAGTCACATACCAACATTTTATTTGTTATTTTTAAGACAACTGATTTAGCCAAGAGAACAGAGTTTCAATGAATAAATATACATCATGATAAAGGTATGAAGCTGCAGGAGCAAGAGGTACATGAGGAGTTCCTGAAAGAATATTTGCAGGTGCAAAGGCAGCAAGCACACTTATCCCAACAGTAGTCCCCTGCACTTGTTAAATATGTACCACCTCCTCAGGACAATGCCATGGTACAGGAGAGTAGCAGCTTTTGTTGGGCTGCCACCTATACTTGTATGCTCCCTTCCATACGTTCTCATAGCACTCCACTTGTGCCAGCAATCAAGACAAAGAGAACAGGAATCCCCAGCACATGACTTTCTTGTCTCTGCCGTCTGCAAATATTTCATTGTTGCTTTTTGTATTTTCCGTGGCTTCTTTTTGCAGTTGTAGGCTTAATAAATTTGATTTGTGCCTTTTATTTCTGTGTTAAGTTGATCTATCAATCATACTTCAATTTACCTTCTATACATCACCATTTCACTAGTCCCTACCCTCCCTTATACAGACTCCTACATTTAAAAAACTGATGAAGAAAAGCATATTTACTATATAAGGTGAAATTCACCATTAACAAAAGGAAAAAAATATTTAATAGCAGCAAATACCAACAGTTAGTATCATAGAACTGGAAGGGACCTCGAGAGGTCATCTAGTCCAGTCCCCTCCACTCAAGGCAAGACTAAGTATTATCCCTGACAGGTGTTTGTCCAACCTCTTAAAATTCCCAATGATGGAGAATTCCCACCTCCCTACGCAATTTATTCCAGTGATTAACCACCCTGACAGAAAGGTTTTCCTAATGTCCAACCTAAACCGCCCTTGCTGCAATTTAAGATCATTGCTTCTTGTCCTATCCTCAGAGGTTAAGAAGAACAATTTTTCTCTCTTTTCCTTGTAACAACCTTTTATGTACTTGAAAACTGTTATCCTGTCCCCCATAAGTCTTCTCTTTTCCAGACTAAACAAACCCATTTTTTTTTTTAGTCTTCCCTCATAGGTCATGTTTTCTAGACCTTTAATCATTTTTGTTGCTCTTCTCTGGACTGTCTCCAATTTGTCCACATCTTTTCTGAAATGTGGCGCCCAGAACTGGACACAATACTCCAGTTGAGGCCTAATCAGTGCGGAGTAGAGCCGAAGAATTACTTCTTGTGTCTTGCTTATAACACTCCTGCTAATACATCCCAGAAGGATGTTTGCTTTTTTTGCAACAGTGTTACACTGATGACTCATATTTAGCTTGTGATGCACTGACCCCCAGATCCTTTTCCACAGTACTCCTTCCCAGGCAGTCATTTCCCATTTTGTATGTGTGCAGCTGATTGCTCCTCCTTAATGGAGTACTTTGCATTTGTCCATATCGAATTTCAACCTATTTACTTCAGACCATTTCTCCAGTTTGTCCAGATCATTTTGAATTTTAATCCAGTCTTCCAAAGCACTTGCAATCCCTCCCAGCTTGGTATCGTCCACAAACTTTATACGTGTACTTTCTATGCCATTATCTAAATCATCGATGAAGATATTGAACAGAACTGGACCCAGAACTGATCCCTGCGGGACCCCACTCGTTCTGCCCTTCCAGCATGACTGAACCACTGATAACTACTCTCTGGGAACGATTTTCCAATCAGTTATTTCTGTCTTTCAGGTTCCAGCATGTTCAATCCCTTACATCCTCCCATGTATTGGCAAAATATGAGCCCAAAGCATCTCTGATCTGATTTGCATACCTATTTCAAACAATGTTTGTGTAACTCTCAGCTTCAGATTGTGCTTCCCAGCTATGTTTGTAAGTGCTGGATGCTTTGTGGCCTCCTTACTGTATAGTCTGTTAAGCGCTTCCACCTGGCATTCACAGATGTGCAGAATACAACAAGCAGATATTAAAAAACCCATGTTGCCAATTGTACTGTGATTGCATGTTAGACACTGCCATTTTGTGTTGAGCCTTCCAAGTGCACAAGGATGATGAAAGCACTGAACTGGGACTCAGGAGATCTGGGTCCCAGCTCAGCCACAGCCTTTTTATATGACCTTAAGCAGCCATTTAATCTCTCTTGTCTCAATTTTCCATTTGTGAAATGAGTATTATAATAGTTTCCTACCTTTTTATAGCAGTGTTGCAGGGTAAAATTGTTTGAGAGCCATTCAGGCATTCTGGTGATGGTCCTATACATGCTTATATAAACCATCCTGCACCTGCTGGATGTGTAGTTGAACCAACTTCTGTCTGCATTGGGGTATGTCTTTGTGACCCAGGTAAGGAGTGGGTTTGGAGGGTCACTGGAAAATCACTGTTGGGATAGAAATCCAGTTAATTTCAGTGATGTAGGAAGGGAAGTGTGTCCTTCAGTCTGTTCCTGAAAAGTGCAGAGTTTTTAAAAATTCTTGCATGATGTATAATGCCTGTCACCTCTGTTGAAGAACTAGGAACCAACTATGATGATCTAGTAAGACTTGCATCACCTAAGCTTTTTCCTTTAAAGTACTCCTGTTCTTCATGGAGTGGGCACAGAATGGACACTTTCTTTTTTTTTTTTTCTTCTGTAACTGCAGCACAATTCAGGTGAACCAGTTACTCAGTTCTCTCAACGATCTCAGACATATTTGCGAGGTGATAAATTGCAGTGTAGAGATCCATTGCAACAGCATACACCGTGAACTTGCCAAACCAAACTGATGCCCGGGGTAATCACACTGATTTTTCTGTGGTCAGCAGAGCTCCTTCTGGTGGTCTGATGCCACATTTGTAAGGACTTGCTCCCCACAAAGGCACATAAAAGTTTTTGGTCTCTTACGAAGGTCTGTAGTCACTGCTGTTCATACCAGGTCTCAGACAACTCTGTATCATCATTCTGTGTCAGGGACCAAACTTAGTGCTCCACCTGGTTAGCTCCATCTTGAGGAACATTTACTCCAAGGACCAGGAAACATCTGGAGAATCCTTCACAATCATATAGGATAAATTCCAATAATTGCTCATCTTCTTTGACTCTACTTTATATGTTGGCAGTACAACTGAGAAGACCTCTGCTAGGCAGCCTGAGATGATTCACTTTTGTGGAGTTTCAGCCAAAAAGAGCAAACTCTAACTATTTGCCCTGGCCTTCATTTTGAGGATATGTCTTCTCAATTGCTGAGTTTCTGATGGAGTTGCTGGAATTTGACCATCTGCTTCCAGAAAGCCTTTTTGAAATCTCCCACAAGCCACTGTTTCAGGGAGTTTCTCTAGGAACTGTGGGATAAGTATACAGAAGACAGTTGAACTGCAATGGCTGAGTAGAGGACTGTGTGGACACAGGGCAGACTTGACCTCAGAACAGGATGGATGGTTTAGACACAACTACTCGGATGCAATTTACAGCACTACAGTCTTACTGGTTCAGCTGCCAGTGGTTCAACTGTCCAGTGTAGAGACCGCCTAGAAATCAAAATTTGAAACTGATGTTATTTGCATTCAGATGCTAGTAAACAATCAGTCTGTTTATAGAGTTGGTGATAAAGTATACAGTTAACAACACACACAAACAACACTTGACAAATGCAATACTGGAATTTGGCATAGTATCTGCAAGTAAAAAAAAACTTATGGTTGTGCATCTAGTTAGTGCTGGAAGGAATAAGAAATGGGGTAAAATGCAAAAGCACACGTGTGATTTTTCTAAAAAAAAAAAATTAGGAGCCTAAGTGCCATTGACTTTCAATGACACTTAGGCTTTCTGAGTGCCCAAGTCACTTTTTAAAATGGCCCTTAAGTGCCCTGGGAGTCTAAGTGCATTTGAAAATTTTACCCAAAGTCAGTTATTTTCTTAGAGAAAGCCACTAGTTAAAACTCCTTAGCTATGGCTGCATCTGTATAAAGCACTGTTTGGCTTTGTTTTGTTTCTGTTACAATAGCTCCAGGAGAACTCAATCAGATTACCCCCAACTCCCCAGTCTCTAATTTGCTGTCACTCCACGTGTGATTGTGTGGAGATGCAGGTTCTCAGTGAAACTTGTAATGGCAAAGGGCTGAAACACCTATTGTGGGAGAAACTGGGGTTTGAATCTCACTTTACAAGATTTGTTTCTGAGTAGGTTGGTTGGTTTGTTTCCTCTCAGTTTTTTTGTTTTTGTTTTTGTTTTGGACACTGGAGTGGAAGAAGTGTAAACTCTCTTCCCCTATGGCTTCACACACTGGTGGTGGTGCTGGCAGCATTGTCCCCACTTCTTCTTCCTCTGTTCTTCCTCCACCAGAGGTTACATGGTATTGGAAGAGGTGTGTGGGATCATACTTATAATTAGAGGGTTTAGGGAGCTGGAGATTGTGGGCTGGCCATGCCAACAACAGTCAAGACTGATTGACTGAACATGCAGGCTGGGCTTCAAGTACAGAATCTCCAGGGGGAAAAAAATGAGATGCAGTTGTAAAATATCAGCTCTGCAGTTAACAAACTAGTCCACACTGGAGGAGGAAAAAATAAGGAAACTTTATATATTTAAGCTTCAGAGGAGGAAAAGGAGTATGAACAATGAGTGAAAGAAATATCCAGACAGTGTCCCTGCTTAACTAAACATATCCTATTAATGAGTTTGGTGGCTAGCTAAGTACAAGGAATAATTCTGCCTTCGGAGAATGTTATGGATGCTTAAAGCAAATCTGTTCAGGAAAGTGGAAAAACAAATCAACTCCCATCCCCAATACTCATTGCTAACTACAATTTTTGCCACTTTATTTTTGATAACTTTAAACATTAAATCAATATAAACTTACTAATTTATTTTTCTTTTGCAGTGCTCACTGGTTTTTAGCTGTCATCTGTTTTCCTGGTTTAGAAAAACCCAGATATGAACCAAATCCTCACTACCATGAAAGTACACCAATGCAAATAAAAGCATCCTCCTCAGAGAGAGAGAGCAGCACTCCATCTCCTTTGCCAAATGAATTGGATTCGTCTTCACAAAGCTCTCCTTCCAAATCTACAGTAAAGAGAACACTGAACAAAAAACTTCCTGTAGCTTTAACTGACACAAACAGGGAAATGGAGGACAGTGAGTCACTATATTGTAGAAGAAGCCCTTGTAGGGGAAAAAGTGGAATTAAGAAAGTAAATCAAATAGACAGTGATTCAGAAGAACCTAGGACCGTGGAATCTGCATGTCATAAACTTGATCATAGGACTGCAGATGAGAATGGCATGCAGAGTGAATACACAACTGCTGTACAACCTATGGGTATGTACTTTTAAAATCTTTCGATTACTTTAGGATGTAAGATTTCAGAGAGTTCATATTATCAGAAGAAAGGTATCTCAGCTGTGGAACCTTGGTTCTTCTCTCCTGTACGTATGTATTATTATACAATTTCACATACTTTTTTCTGCATTCAGTGCACAAGATGAACAACTCAGGAAATGAGGCTATTTAATTTTTGTATCCTCCATCTATCAATGTGTATGGGCCTCTCCCCATACCTGCCTTACAACACATCATCTAATCCATGCATGAGTAAGAGATTCATTTCCTCATGAGCTTTCTGTGGTATTTAACACTTTTAAGCATTCGTGTGAATGCTTCACAAAGATGTATGTATCTTTACCATTTCACAGATGGGCACAGACAGAAAGATGAAGGCCAGCATTTTCAAGTGTGTTCACTGATTTTTGGGTAGCACAGTGATTGGCTGACCAACTTGACACTTCCAGCCTGACTTTTATCTGAGACTCCTGCAGTGGCAGGGAACTGATTAAGTGCACTGGGCCGGGCACTGTTGAACCAGAAATCTTTCTGGAGAGACTTTGGCTCTAGTGCCTCAAAGACTTATGTTATGATTAGTCCCATTGACTTCAACTGGATTACTCTCAGTGAGCAAGTTCAGCACCTGCATAAATCTTTGCAGAATGGGACCCTTGATCTTTCTGATAGTCTTACAGAATTAGTGGATGGTCATAATATAGTAAACATTATGCAATTACATTTTAGTAAAGTTGTTAATACTGTCATGAAATATTACTCTAAAATAATGTAAATTGTCTTGGTTAGGAACATCTCAAAACATTCAATTAGTTTCCAGAAATGGTAGTCATAAATGGGAATGTATTTGAATTGAGAGAGATGTTTAGTGAGGTAATACAGAGATCATGTTAGGTTTGATCTTCGTATGCAGTCTTAATTATGTGGATGAGGGAGTTTAACAGATTTAATTTTTCTAGGTTTCACAAGGAATATAAATCCGGTTATTCTATAAATATAAGTATGTATGAAACTTCAAAGTTTCATTAACATTTGATTGTATAAAACTTCAGTGCACAATTGCTGCAGTTGTGTGGCTTTTTTCTGTTTCTTTCATTTACTTTCTGTTCCAAGCAAGAGACTCCCTCAGCTCTTCTGTCAGCATCATAGTGGAAAGGGAAGAGGAGGAAGAAGGAAATGCGTCAAAATATATTATTACATATTTGATGCCTGTGAATTATTTCTTAAAGTTCGATTTAGACTTCTAAGGGCCTAAGACACTTTTGAATATGGGACTTAAGGGCCATAAGTCATGTAGGTGTTTTTGAAAATTGTACCCATGTTCTCAGAACTTAAATTTGGACATGTGGTGGCTTTTTCTTTTTTACCTGAAGTTTTTAGCTTGCTTATGCAAAACATCTCCACCTTCAACCTTATTTAAAGGGAATACTATTTCAAAATACTCTACTAGCGGTAAAATTATAATGGCTGGTGAATGTAGTGGCTGCTAAAGTTAAGACTTCAAAATGATTTCTAGAATGACCCCATCTTCATATGCTGCTAACTTCCCTAATTTTAGTCTTTGTGCCTGAAATTTTCCATGCTCGATGTCTGCCTCAAAGTGAAACTTTTTTGAAAAGTTTGAACAAAATATGTATCGTCAAGTGTCTGAGTTATGAGAGGGAGAAGAAAATGCAGTTTTCCCACTATTTTGTTAGTTGTGATTTATAGGTGGCTCACAGTTGCTAATCCTTTACACTTCAAATTTGACATCCATAACATTTGTTACATGCTTTGCCCAGTTGCTTTAATAATTCATAAGATGATGGAATTACAGTAGAACCTGAGAGTTATGAACACCAGAGTTACGAACTGACCAGTCAACCACACACCTCATTTGGAACTGGAAGTACATAATCAGGCAGCAGCAGAGACCAAAAAAAAAAACCAATTACAATACTGTGTTAAACTGCTAAAAAAATAAAATAAAGGGAAAGCAGCATTTTTCTTTTGCATAGAAATGTTTCAAAGCTATATTAAGTCAGTGTTCAGTGTAAACTTTTGAAAGAACAACTATAACGTTTTGTTCAGAGTTATGAACACCCTCCATTCCTGAGGTGTTTGTAACTCTGAGGTTCTACTGTATGTTCTAATATCCTTTTCCTCCTTACTCCCCAGGTATCTGTGCCATAGAAAAGTCATATTTTAAACTATTAAGTTAAACCCCTAGATACACTGGGCGTAGGTGAACAGCTATTTAAATGCATAGCTGTGTTTCCAGCTCCAGTTTATCACCAGTCTTGTGATAGTCTCATTCAATCTTATTTCCAGCAGGTGGGGCTTTAAGAAAAATATCAACTATCAGCTTCCTTTTTTTTTTTAAATGAAAGTTTCCAGTACTTTATCGTACAGAGAAGTTTGAAAACATGAAACAAGGCTCAGAAACAAGAAGACAAATAAAAAGAAACTCGTATATATTTAACGTGTGTGTGTGTGTGTGTATATCTATATACAAAATATGAGATTTTAAAACAAATCTCATTTATTTGAAGGCCTGTCCCATGACTTTTGAATGCATAGGGTTAGCAGCTATAGCATAGTGAAAAAACCTAGTTTTCTGAATTGCTCCAACTCAGTCATACCAACATTTGTGGGGGAGGGAACAGATTCTGTAAAAATACACCCCCACTTTCTGTTGCTGCTTTCATCTTTAAAATACCCATTTGGGTTAAGGGAGTGAGTCTTGACCTGTACTTCTAGGCAAATTACTTCAAAACTATGCCTTAGTTAAGTCATGTGTAAAATAGGACCAATAATGTTTTAACTCACTCTTGGCAAGTGCTTTGAATCCTACCAAAGAAAAAGGACTTTAAGTACAAAGTATTACTAGTCTTGTTTTGATAGATGCAAGAAGTAAAGCACAGAAAGGGTAACTCGTTTGTGTGGGAAAACATTGAGTACATTAGGCAAAGGTTTCATGGAGAAGAACTGAGCTGTAATGCTGTGATCAAGGAACAAGTCACATAATGTCTCTGCTTTCTCATCTGTAACACTGGTATATTTATTTCCTACTTCACAAGGGCTCTGAGACTAGTGTTTGTAAAGTTCCTTTGGAAATGTAAAGCTTTCAGGAAGTAACTTGCAACACAGAATTTTGCTAGTGGCATAAATGCATGTAGCTTAGTTTCACTAGTTATCGTTTTGGTCTAGGTCTAAAGATTTCAAATGCAAAACACTTTCTGAAATGTTATTTGTGAGGAACACTTCACTTAGTCCATTATGAGGTTATAAAAATGATGTTGTATTTGATTTTTAAATGTATGGCTATCTGTGTTTAATACAGATGGCTTGCACAAAATCAGGCTGAACTATAGCGAAGACTCCACTGATGGCAGTAAACTAAATGAAGATGAGCTTATAGATTTTTCTGAAGATCAAGATAACCAGGTAAAGAATTTAATAATGTTGCTTAGGTAATTCATAGATTCTAGGACTGGAAGGGACCTCGAGAGGTCATCGAGTCCAGTCCCCTGCCCGCATGGCAGGACCAAATACTGTCTAGACCATCCCTGATGGACATTTATCTAACCTACTCTTAAATATCTCCAGAGATGGAGATTCCACAACCTCCCTAGGCAATTTATTCCAGTGTTTAACCACCCTGACAGTTAGGAACTTTTTCCTAATGTCCAACCTAGGCCTCCCTTGCTGCAGTTTAAGCCCATTGCTTCTTGTTCTATTCTTAGAGGCTAAGGTGAACAAGTTTTCTCCCTCCTCCTTATGACACCCGTTTTAGATACCTGAAAACTGCTATCATGTCCCCTCTCAGTCTTCTCTTTTCCAAACTAAACAAACCCAATTCTTTCAGCCTTCCTTCATAGGTCATGTTCTCAAGACCTTTAATCATTCTTGTTGCTCTTCTCTGGACCCTTTCCAATTTCTCCACATCTTTCTTGAAATGCGGTGCCCAGAACTGGACACAACACTCCAGCTGAGGCCTAACCAGAGCAAGTGAGATAGGAAGAATTCATGCGCGATTCATACTCAAATGTCACCTCTTAAAATATCCCACTAT